AGAAGAAGAGGAATCAGCAACTTCATGACGATGATGATCGGCAACACAACGTAGTATATATGACAATGAAGAGATGCATCGTTCTTTATCTGTTTTCGTTGTCGACTCTGATTACAGTTCTCATTATCAAATCACTTCCATCGTTAAATCGAAAACGGACTTTGGCCATAAACAGAGAAAACACTCAAAAGAGTTTTTTTTTCTGCTAATATAATTTACAACCATCAAAGTACGATCTTCATGTATGTCAGTTTGACGACATACTAGATGACAATCTTGTTTAAACAATGAATGATGAGTGAAAGCAATACAAGGTGATATTGCTCTTGACAACTACATTTTCTTCTTTATATTTTTGTTTGAGTCGTCCATAATTCCTTGAATAACGTAACTTATTCCTGATATATACTTGGATTTTAAAAAATTATCCAATTTTTTTTTGAAATATCACTTACATCATTAATATTTACATTAGAACTATTACTTGTACATTATTTCAATTGTTAGTACAGGTGATTAATTCATTAATTATTTTCTCAAAAATTCAAGTTTGTTTTTGTGAAAATAAACATTAAATTGCGCGTTTCAGAAAAATCACAATTAGTTATTTAATACATGTCAAGTACATTTTTAATTTTAGATCAGTAGTTTTCCGCAAATAAAGTGAAATTGGACAATATTAAAACGAGACTTTTGGAAAACATGCTCCAATTTCCCTTTCATTTTTTTATAGATCCTGCCAAAAATGCCGAATAGCATAACAAACGCCTTTTTGTTGTTTGCTTCTCGTCTCCTTGAAACAGGGTATGTGTGAAATTTTCCAAATTCCACCAACATATAAATAGTGCGTCTGGATTGTGATCGTTGGAAGTTGTCGAGTGACTTGCGCTATTCTTTCTATAATTTTAACTTTTGTTGAGCTGAGCATGAGAGAGGAGCTGACCAGTCTTGGCTTAAGGTTGCAAATGCCATGCCTAAATAACAGCGTGAGAACGTATGAGAACATACAAAATTCCATAATAGTTCAATTATTTAAAAAATATTAAATAATTGCACCAGTTATGAATATGCGTCTACGAAAATGTGTATGCTTTGGTAGTCGGTGGTAGGGGCATTATACTTCATAATACTACTGTTGTTTATTGGGAATACAAGGCACCAACAGTGAAAATATACTTTGTGACAATTTCAACGGAAAAAGAGTTTGTAATTTTCGTTGTTTTTTTTCTGAAATCTATTATTTAAACCTTCCGTAAATAATAAATAATACGTACATGAATATAAACATATGCTAAAAATATTTACCTAATGAGTAATTTGGAAAATAGATATCAAATGACACATATTTTCCAAATTAATATACCATTCACTTCACTGGCGTAACAAATACGTTTTAATGTACAATTTCAATGTGCTTTGTACAGATAATAAATTTCTCATGAAAAAAGTATTGTTTTCATTTTCTAAATTAATTCCTGATATATTTGCTTCGACTTTTACACATTAGTCTATAGAATTTAATCAAGTTCCTGACCGGATCTGCATTCGCATCGTGAGATTTTTCTGAACCAAGAGATCAATGTTTCTAAGGTACGCGATTTTATGAACTTCCCTTCAGAGTATTCTCAGATTTCAAAGTTTTAACTAGAAATGTTGCTTAACAAGTCATGGAATCAACTCCGCCAAGTTGTTCTCAAATCCACTGCCATTAGCCAGAACAGAATTAAACTTCGTCCACACAGTCGTGTTACCTAAAAGAAGAAATACAATCAGCGACTTCATGATGATGAACGGCTACACAGTGTACCACGTATGAAGTATGCGACACAATGTACCAAATGTGAAGGACACACATCGTTCCTTATCTGCTTTCGTTGTTTCTGATTGCCACTCTCGTTATCAAATCCGACGTTGAATCAGAAAACTGCAATTGATAGCTAAAACACTTGTAATATTTCATTCCAAACGGTGTATTATCGCGTTTGTTGGTTTATCAATCCCAGATTACATTTTACTATTTTTTCAAGAGATGAAAATTGTTGTATTGATTAACAATAATATACAGTCTTCAGGTTTTCGCATATTAGTTGATGTTGAATTTGTATGGGTGGTAGAGATGAATGAATGTATACGTTACTCAATAGTTTGTTTACCTGTTCAGTGGTATTATTTTTGCGTTGCCGCTCAAGGTTGGGAGAGTTGCGGCTCAAGTCCATTCTTCGGCAAAACTCTTCCCTTTAGAAGAAGCATGTACCATCGCAACACGTGTATATTTAAATTTTTCTGTAGTGACCGATGACAGGTCATTATTACACCTTCTGCCTTATAAAATGAATCATTTAAACAGTCGTAAGCACATTTATGAAGTCACAAGCCCCGTTCAGAAGGACGTTCGTGAATCAATTAAAAATATTCATTTTATAAGGAAGGAAGTGTAACATTGACCTAATGTCGTCGACCACTACATAAAAATTGAAGTATAGACATCACAACCAGCTACGCCAGACGTACTTAATTCGCCGAACAGCAAACGATTTCTGCAACTCAGCGAATAATTTCTACAAGTAGTAAAAAATCATGTGTGAGAAATAGTTGAAATTTCATATTCGACGTTAATTTGTGTCGAGTAATATTCAGTATTAGCAAAAACCGTGTAGCAATGTATTTGTCTTTCATGGAACAATGAAGCTCCCGGTAATTCTCGTTTGTAATTGCGATGTGAGACTTCCGCGTTATGTCTGTTACATACCAAAGAGGAACGAAAAACTGTTAGACATACCATGTCTTCCGGGACCTTTGGTATGTTGTGATAGGGCATTATACTCAAAAAGATATCTTACTGTAAAATATTAACGACCTGTTTTGACAGATGTAATGTGTGTACAATAGATATAGATAATAAAAGCAGATAAATTCCCAATATCAACTAGAAGAAGCATTACTCTCTGCACTATTCAAGAGGAAGACACCGTTGCGTTCGGAATGAAGTTTCTGTGGTTATTCGCTTTCTTAGGTAAGATATATTTTCTTCCTGATATTATTCTGTTTTTAAAAAAATGAGGAAAACATGCTTTCGAAATATTCACAGAATTTTGAAATTAAAATGTTTAACTATATAGTGTGTAATGTGACCTACAAAATTGGAAATATTTATTAATTTTATTTGTGTAATAATTTCATCCTTAGAATTTGAAATCTTAAGAAAAATACAATAATTTCTCAGAAAAATATTTTATCTAATAACATAATATATTTAATGTTACTCTCTTCAATGTTATACCTATGATCAGTAAAATATTTTTGAGAACGTTAGAATAATAAGTAGCTGAATGTTGTAATCACCTCACTGTTATTGTCTCAGTTATGGAGATTTTATTAGTACTCAAGTGAACGTACTGACGTGAATAATTCACATTTCAATGGATAAATATACTGTTAGACTCTCATAAACCATTATAGCGGTAGCAATTCGAAGATATATTTTGATAAAGAGTATAAATAATTCTAAGCAGTCTTAAGATACAAAATTTACACAACATCTCCAGCATTAAGACACATAATTTTTGTTTGTTTTAATTAATTTTTGCCGATCATACTTTCTTCATTAATCAAACAGCTCTGGCACTGGAAATTCAAACACTCCTAGGTAAAGCACAGTGGATATTATGATACGGTTTTATTTCTTTTTCATATAATAGTATTTTTATTGCCATTTATACATTTTTAAACATTTTTCTTTCATTTCCTCGCCCCATCTCTCTTTGTAGTTGCTGGAGTTGCTGTGTGTGTTGCATTAGATGACAGCGACGAAGATTTCGGATGCTCAGATGTCGTGGAGCCCGTTTGCGGTCGCATGCCAGATGGCAGAGTCAGAGGATTTGGAAACTACTGTTATATGTTGTCATTTGCGAGCATAAATAAAGTTCGTGAGTATCGTAGACATTTGTTTTCAATATTTAATGGTTTTTAATCTGACTCCACGTTTACTACATGTCTCGATTATAATTCAGAATAAAAACTTCTAAATATTTCACCTAGTCATTTACTGTTGTTTTTTCTTTTTATTGCAAATATTATAACTGCACCAAAAATAGTTTAAAGAAAACATTAATAGCATAGTGGTGCTGATGAATAGGATAGGCTTCTTCGTACTAGTTAGTTTTATAATATATTTTGCCTAGGGAAGTTATTTAGTTTTGCTCCACTCTCCCGTCAGCTACTGCCAATCGGCATCTAAAATATAATTGGTCCGTTTTTCTCAATTTTTCCGTTATCTAACAGTAAAATTGGAACATGACTTTAGTAATATCATATAAAAGAGTAAAACTTCGTCATGTATGCCAACTTTTCATTTAAATCTTAAGTAGAATTCTGAGAAATGTCATTTGAGCAAACGTAATTTTAATGGATATTTAAAGAAAAGTTAAGAGTTTACGAGAAATGTCATAAAAAAACTTTTGAACACTTGTGCGTACAATTGCAATTATGTAAAAAAGGCTATAAAGTAAATTCTTTTGTGAGATACATTTTCTTTAAATTATTTTTGGGTAAGTTTGGAAAAATTAAAATAATATATCAAAATGGAGTTTAGGCCATATATTCAGTTCACTTAACTCCTTCGCTTTGTAGAAGAAAAAGCTCAAAATTTTCGGAAAACGGCCCCAAAATTTTTGTTTGTGTTTTAATAATGTCTTATTTAATCCAAATAACACAGAAATTGTAAATATTAAACATATATTTTACATTAATTAAAGAGCTAATTGAAGAGCACAAAATGAATTTGTATGTCGTAACTCTCAGATTTTTTTAAACACTCCAAAAGTTCAAGTTGTTTAGGCGTCTTCTTACAATCACAAAAATTATTGGTAGATATTCTCCTTAATGAAATTGATTTAATCGTTATTAATATCAAGTACGATTTTATATCATTTTATTGACGTCATGTACAATTTTTTGAATTTATATGTAGTTTGCATGAAATAGAGAGGTTTTTCAACAATTGTTATCTCAAAGATTATTTAAATCTTTAATTTTTCTCTCGGATAGAGCAAAATTCGTTGATAAAAACGGCTCATGTCTCAGAAGAACTTTATGAATTGTCGAAAATAATAAGATAATTTCATTGCTGATAGAGATATAATGATATTTAAATCTTTTAATAATGAAACCTGATCTTTAAAATTATATATTATTGTAAATAAGATCATGTATCATTCCTTTAAAAATATGAATAGTTTCTCAAAATGTTTGAAAATCTCCAAAATTGCAACTTTTGAATTTCTGTGCTCCCTTGGCCAAATAGAACCAGGTGATATCGATACATAATACGTCTAAGACAACACTGAGAATTGACTTACATTTCAATTTCTCAGAATAACTTCGGATTTCAATGATTGTGGACATCCGGAACGCAACGTCCGGACGATGATGGTCCTAATGTTAGGATGGATGGATGGATGGATGTTCAAGTATTAGGTTTAAAATAATTAGTTTTTGCACCTAGTGCGCCATGATTGCTAATGAGTGTTAGATGTGAAGGCTGAGTTCTGTTAATATCGACAGAAATTGGAGGTAATGATTTATTAACGTGAGAAAGTACGTGCTGCGGTAGCTCCCCGTTTAATATTTGCCTACCAGCACAAAAATGGTTTTAATATTTGCCTACCAGTACAAGAATAGTTTACCTATGCAAAGTACCGGGGCTACACTTAGTATGTAGCGCAAGGAACAGGTTCTGGATATTCAAAAATTTAATTCCACTGAAAAATTAATTTTACTTTTAAAACAATTATTTTAGAAAGATTGTCATCATGGATACAGTTAAATAAACCAAAAAAATGTCTTACGCTTTACAGATGACAATTTTAAAATTTTAATTGACAATTCATTTAATCAGTATAAGTCAGTATAATCAGACACCATGGTTACATTATTTTAGTGAGCATTGAAAACAAGAAAACGTATATGTAATGTGATAAGCTATAAAAGTGTTCCAGGATGGATTTGTAATTAATTCTGTACTAATTTGACCCCTATTATTTAATAAAATTTAGAAATTATGTATCAAGAATAATAAACGATGTCCTTTTGCAGCCATCGACTTGGTTGATTGGGAATTATGCTGTGAAGACACCTCGCAAAATATATATTCCGAATGTTGCTCATCCTCTGAGGGATCTAATAGATCATGCTGAAGATAAGCTAAATGTACTCCAGAAGCAACTGCATTCACCACATGTAAACATTCTGTATTGTACAATATGAAATAAAATATTATCAATGTCTGACAATGTATGATCAATTTATTACAGATGCCGGTTTGACGATCGTATATTTACGTCGCATTAAAACGGATCTGCACAATGCCTACTTCCTCGGGGATTCTGAATTGAACAGCCGGACGCCTATAATATAATATATCTTTATTAGTGAACGAATATACATAGTTCAGTATTATTTATACTACATCATATGTATTTTTTATGACTTATATTTAACGTAAATGCTAATCTTACAACTAAATCTAACTACACATGAATAGGAAACTCACAGAGCACCTATGTGATTAATTGACTTCTGAAAATATGCTGAGGAATGAATCTAATGGATATCTATTTTTTATTCTCGTTATATTACAACTCTTCCGAAGATTTTGCACAAAAATGGTTGACGACCTCATTCGCAGCTCTCTTCAACAGCCACGTCGGAGGCTTCGCCAGAAGACCCGCTGGAAGAAGAGCTGTCTGACGAAACAGACGCATCCGATGGACGACTCTCCGGGAAGCAGTCTCCTTTCTTTACGAAGGTGATAGCTGCAAAGTAAATGAGAAGTAAGTATATTTTAAAATCCTAGTATACCCCGTGTCAACGGGGAATTTATCGTAGGTAATACCACGACTCCTTTGGAAATTGTCGATAAATTTCAGACTCTGAGGGAATATATCTGAGAATTACTAAAGCACGAGTGGTATTTTATAGGACTATTCCAGGAGTGAAATTATATCCAACAGAGTTCCAAAATGCGCCAAATATTGAAAATAACTCAAAGCTATGTTAAAATCACAAGTTATGTTATAGTACATACGCTATTTATTGGACATTGTTAAAGCGATCGATGTATAACGCCTCATAAGATATACACACGTAAGCTTCCGCGGCTCGAATCCATAAATTCTCGGCTATTCGGGAGACGCCGCGTCGTTGGCTGGGAAGCCCACGGTTCGCCTGACATGTCACAGGCTTCCTCAGGGCAGGAAACGTCGCCCTCCCAGCCAACGACGCGGCGTCTCCCGCATAGCCGAGAAAGTCTCCTAAGATAGATGAGGCACAGTTTATGATTGGCCAGTAGGTAGAAGCGGTGAGAAAAATTGAATGGAAAAGTGATGAACATTCTGAAATACACCGCCCTGGTTGGGGAACTTTGTATGTATTGTTCAACACTATTGGTTTTAATGTCGAGTGGAATTTAATATCGAGTTGAATACTCAAAATAATTTATTAGACAGGAAGAGGAATTCCGACTATCCTCTCCCTGTGGCGGAGTCTATTTCTATCTATTCTATTGTCTTCCCTCCATCTCCACCGCTTCTTCTTCTCACTGCCCTCGCTCCATCTGAAAATAGTAAGTCTTCTGTACTCACTAAAACACTTTCTTATTAAAAAATATTTTTCTTTTTTCTTTTTGGGGTTCCTGGCCCCAAACTGTATTCACGTTATAACTGAGAATAACGAAACAAATCTACACTAAAGAAAATAAAATTCGTCAACTGACGTATATTCTTTTTGTAAACATGTATATATTATTCCAGTACTTTCAATCAACTATCACATTATTAAACTTACTGTTCCTCATAGTTTTTCTTAACGTATATTTAGAAAAATAATTCGCAACTCAATTCATGTTAAAATATTATTAAAGTAATTTTAATTGAATACGAGAACGCGTTTTAGTTAAATTGTTATATAAAATCACATTATTAAACTTATCCTTCTCATATTGTTTCTTAACATATATTTAGAAAAAGATTTGAAATTCATCTTGCCACGTCAACTGACGTTTAAATATTATTAAAGTAGTTTTAATTGAATTCGAGAACGCGTTTTAGTGCCCTTAATAAATACTGGCTGATGGAACGGTGGCATTAAACACTTAGACAATTATATTTTCAAAAATTCGAGATCACAATGGATCTCGGCCTAATAAACATTTTCTATTATCTAAAATAACCACTTTGGTTCTGTTTTCCAGCAACCAGTGATGATACACCTTAAATTTTCCCAAATTACCATTTGCCCTTACTGTTTATACTTCAATTATACTTCTTGTCGAACTTTCAACAATTTAATTAATCATTCATTCACCACCCAAAGGTACACTTTCACTCTCCAGTATAATAAAACACTTGAATGCAAATATTCCTCCACCCATCACAGTTTCAGCATAACTCGTAAATCACACAAAATATGTTTTTGCTCGCATTACAGCTCGTGCAACTCACGAATAAATAATAATCATGCTTAAATTACAAAAACTAAACATGTGCGTATTCATAGCTGTTTACTACAATATTATACACATCCATCTGCAATGTTTTTCTACTATCTCTGGTACATTTAATACATTCGTTCCTAGTCAGAATTAAAATCAATATCCAAATTACATTACAAAGCCAAGAAAAAACAGAATAGTTTCGTATATGAAAATACACTAACAGTATTCTCCAATACACAATTTTGTGTATCAACGAACGCAATCGTAGATCTCAGTCGTCATCGTCTGGTGTCGCGCAGCTAAACAATTGCACGTTGATTTACTCTTGAATCGTTGATGCAATACTACGCGAAAAAAGTCCAGAAAATTAAATATCTTGTAAATATATTAAGGTTTCTGGTTATGAATCATAGCCTATAGTACTCCGGACCTTCAAAGAAATCATATATATATAATATTATATAGTATATAATAATATAATTATATATAATAATATTGAATATGGTACTATGGAAGTCTTGATTACCATGAGCTTAGAGCTAACCTTTGATGTTCCAACACCTATTCTAAAAATTCTTGCCTATTGGTGAATGTTGGCCAAGGACTCACCGCGACTTCCTTCTGTTGCATATGGCTGTCATCGCCCCCTACGTGCGCGGCCATCGTCACGGCTTTCAGCGCGACCCGCCGGCAATCGACGATGCGTAGTCCGCCGGATCGCGAGGCGACAGCCGCGGCGTGTGACCGAGATTTGCTCGCTCGATGCGGCGGTTCAGCGAGGTCGTCCAGCCGCCCCGAAGAGGTCGCAGCGCAGGTGCGACCCCCGGGGCGGTCCAGGCACGGCGGCGCGGGCGGTCGTGAGAGGCGCCGATTTGCCGGAATGGGTTTCCGCCCTCCTGGGGTTCTGCCCCTCACAGCGTTCACGGGCCTGCGCCAGCCCCAAGCCGCGACGGCCGCCATTCGCCTCAGACGAAAGTCTGCGCCTTTCAGTGCTGAGAGGCCAAGCACTGAAGGAGACGGCGAGGACCGCGCCAGAAATAAAATAGCTAAAAAAAGTAGAAAAATTAGAATGTACTCGGCTTCTGACGCAGTATTTTCCCTTCAAGGTTTTTCCTGAGCCCGTACCTTGTGTCTTTTTCCGCGCTTTGATCGGATAAGAACCTATTGGGGGTGAGATCACAGATATTCGAAAGATAGAAGCGAAAGGGATTAGGTTTGTAATTGCTTAAAGGCTCTCTGCTAGCCACATAGGATCAAGTAATCTAATTTTGTATTTGTAATAATACTTATTAAATAATAATAAGTAAATGAATATTATATACTATATATATATACTATGATATTGATATATAATATATATTGTGACAGTACCTGGAAAGAAGGAACTTCACGACAATAATATCATATAAAGGACGGTAAGTTTCGTGAAATGGGTCTCCAGGAAAATATGAGCTGCAATTGGAAGATTTCAAGAAATCATTTATGCAATTGGAGGTTAAATAATTAATCAACTAGATAATAAGTTTTACAATTCGCAGCGCGCAAGGCTTTAATAGTTCGTGCACAGTAACCGTACCTTGGAGCTTCGAGTCACCGCTGGTGAGCGGCGGGCCGTGGCAACGGGCGGCGCGGTCGGCAACCCGCTCCGTCCGAAGTTGTCGTAAGCGATTCGGCGTTGCTCGTAATACTGGCCCCAATAATTACGCGGCGTCCGTGTAGGCCCCGAATTAAAGCCGTTCTCACTAATCCCAACGATAGTTGCACGTGCGGCCCGCTGCTGCATTAGCGTCCAGGCGGACATGAAATGCGTGTCATCGGTCACTTAATTCACTGTAATGTTTTCACGATATCTGGTCCATTAGTTGCACTCCTGTTCTTCTTACATCTGATACTGCTATTTTGGCACGAATCTCTCCCCACTCAATACTATAATCAGTCCAATCTGGGGGTGATAAACGTTCACCAAAAATTTGTTGGGCATACAGCCATCGACTCGCCCCAGGCTCCCGTAATAATCTACGGCACAGCGCCCCTTCGCATATATACCACCGGCGCTCGGGGTCCGTCGTACACATTACACGGGCTCGTGGCTCCTTGTACGTACTGAAACCGGTCACTCGCGTCGCGGCCCTGCCCCCCGGTTTGACCGTTGATGGCAGCGGGGCGGGGGTCATGCGCTTGATCGAATCAGCGTTTTACCTTCTTATAATTAATAACATTTGCTAATATATGTAAACTGTTCTAGTTCAATTAGTTGAGATATCAACGTGAGAAATAATGGGGATCAGCCATTATCGTGCTCAAGACAAATTTGTTAGCCTGAATATCAATAGTGATATTGATGATAATAATATTATTATTCTACAATTATTATTATACGGAGGTGATGATGAGTGGTGTCTAGGAATAGTGCAACGTAGGGTGGGTAGTAGGTGTCGTGCACGCCCACCGCAGTTCCTCAATACGTAAGGGATAAATTTTGGTTTCTGTTTTATTAGAGGTATGTATTTGAATCAACAAAATTTGTGATATGGAATATTTTGCTAATGCGGTACTTTACTGATAATGATATAGTAAAGTGCGTAAGAATGTCATTCGCACGTTACTGAAGGTTTATAACTTCCATCAGGCATCATACAGAAATACATAGTGGATAACGTAATTAGCAGCGGCTATGGCATTATTTGGGGACGCTTGTTGCGGATTAGTCTCGCCACCGAGGAAGTAGGGTTTTCCGTAAAGGGAAAGAACGCGCGAGACGGAGGACACAGGCTTGGGTGTTTCACGGCTTATAAGAAGCTTTTCATTATAAAAGCGAGGGGGGTGGGGTGACGTAGGGACGGTCACGTGGGCTCCTAATATAACGAGTGTACTGGAAGCCATAGGCAGTTTTGGAACCGTGGAGAACTCGATCTGCTGCACAAACTTGTGCCCAAGACGGTGCATATGCGAGCCAGGCTCGCGAGGCTGGAGTATTAGTTGACGAAGCCTGGGACTTTAGTCTTGGGGACGCGGTACGAGGAGCGATGCTATGTGCGTCTCGAGGTGAGAGGTGGTTGAGTGCCACGATTCACGCCGATTCTCAATCGGATAGATCGCTCCTGGATCGAGGGCAAACCAGCCGTTGTGCGCCAGACGGACTTTGGTGTCCAGCCGTGAATCGGTTCACGCGAAGCTAGCTTGTGTCGCGCTTCAAAAGTAGAGTGGTAGGCCGAAAATAGCCACATATCAAAACCCATTCATCTGGGTTTTGGTCGCTCCCGGATCAGGGATAGTAGATTCATCAGAGCTAGGGTTATATAAGATATAAACTGTATAAATAATTATTGTTTTGTTCTGTTAATCAAATACATTGTATAATAAAACGACAAGCTTGAGTACGTAGGATCGATGTGAGTACTGCATGAAGTATGATAGACATAATTGGTGGCAGCGGTAAGAGGAATCCCACGGGGAGAAGGAACAGGTACCAACTAAGACATAATTGGGCAGCGGTAACGTATCCAGACGGGGACGAAGATAGAATCCAACATATAAAACATGAATTGGTGGCAGCGTATCGAATCTCAGGGGAGCAGCTAGTAACACCAACTATAAGACTAATTGGTGGCAGCGGTAAGAACCCACGGGGAGGATGGAAGATCCACAAATCACTAATTCGGTGGCAGCGTAATGAATCTCAATCGGGGAGCAGCTTTCAGTGAACACCACTAATAGACATAATTGGTGGCAAAGGTAATCAACTATAGAAGAAAGCAAGTGAAAATAAACTATAAGCATAATTAGGGTACGTGTGGCCATGCGTGGCGGAGTGTGACGAAGACATAATACGGCTACTATATACGACGGGAGCGAGATCCGCGAGCAAGCGCCAAGCGGCCATCACACACAGTAACGCCAGAAGGACAGGAGGAAGCGGAAGAAGGAGGACGGACGTCTCGAGGCACCCGGCTTGCGATCCACAAATTCAGCAAGGATCCGGCGTAAGTATAGATCTCATTGGTTAAGCTCGTTCAAGGTTTAATTATGGTTACTTAACGAGATTCGGAAAGAGTGTGTAGTGCACATGGCACAGGGAATAGGACCGAGTCCAGTGGAAAACTTAGCTGTAGTTACGAAAATTGAAAGAGGAACTCCGATACGAGGAGAACTTGTGAAGAGGATAGCTCAGGCCATAAGGATAAAAGAACGAGAGAAGGGACGCATTAGAAAAGAAACGAGAGAAGGCGAACGCGAATTGAAAAGAACGAACGCGAATTCGAGAGGGAAAGAGCCGAACGGGATGCCGAACGCGCGTTTCAATTAGAACAAAATTACAAAATTCATTGTAACTCCATTACATACATTAAGTGAATTGGTACTACCATTGTATGGTACATCTGGTAGAAAAATCACATCAAAGTACTTCACTTTCTCGTATACGTATTTATATACGACGTAATATACGTAATAGAGAGATGGTTATGTAAGTGGAAAATAACAATTTTTCTGCAGTAGACAGACATACGCACTTTCGACATATAGTTGGACGTTTTTTAGTCATTTTTCCCGATGAGGGTGCTCTTGATACCGAAAAAGCTGTTTTTACTTTCTCCTATAAGTACGTTTATAAATAGTATAACTAGAATTACGTTATGTAATGCTGCAGAAAATCGATTTCTAGATTTTGACGAAAAAATGCAGGGATCCCCTTATACCGAATACTTTTTTATTATTTTATTTTATTTTATTTTTTCAGAACTTCCGTCCGTCTGTCCGTCTTTCTACTGTCATGATATGACTCCACCACTCACAATGGTGATTCTCCAAAACACAAAAGTTTTCTGTGAAAAGAGCTTCAAATTTCACATTTACAGAAACGCTTAACCAACATTTTCTCAAAAATGTCTCCAAATTTTTCAATAAGAATTTTCATATAGGACGAGCCTTTTTCTATAATATTCCGAAAATATTATTTCACTTCTAACATTAGGGAATCTAAAAATTGAGCAAATGTGAAAATTTGTGATCCTAAAACAGCACGTACTACCTCGCCCGTATTTTCACTCAAAATGACGCGAAATGTACCCAAATTTTTGAAACGTTTTACACGACCTTATTTCAAACTCTGTCTTTAAGGAACAAATTTCATTAAGAGAAAAATATCTCTCTTTATAAATGTAATTGTAGGAAGACACCGAAAAAATGTTGGATTTTTGCAGTTTTCCAAAAATAATACTTTCTAAGGAACATGAGATCTTCAGTTCTTGTAAAAGTCCTTTATACTATCCTACAATAAAATTTAATCAAAAACGATAGGGCCATTTTTTTTAAATTTAGAAAATGTTCCAGAGGCTTCACGTTAAGTACCCCTCAAAATTAAAATATCGATTTGAAATCCAAGGGACAGCGATGGCAGTCAGATTGATTATCAATTTTGAAAAAATCGGTTGAATGGTTTAGCCACTAGCGTTGTTCAGTCGGATGGATAGACGGACGGACAGATAGACTTTTGCCGTCATTCGAGTTTTCTGTATCAAGGACCCACAAAATATGAACTCTTGACTACACCACGTGTTAGATGACATTTTTTTAAAATTTATCAACTTGATCTATCTACTTTTTCGTAACCAGGCACCTGCAAAAAGAGTATTTCTGCCGAAAATTCACCGTTTTTTCGGGTAACTTTTTCTCATATGTCAGCTGTAGCGAAAAATAAAGAGCGTGTCAGTTCAGACCCCGGTAAGTAGCGTTGTTTACATACAGAAAAACAGACAGGCAAACTGACAGACAGATTGCTATCATTCGATTTTTAGTATCAAAACATGGATTTTGGCTACACCTTGTGTAAGAGTATTTTTTTCTAATTTTAGCAACTGGATGTATTCACTTTTTTGTTACCAGGGCCTTGTAATACGAGTTTTC